ACAAGAATTTTACCACAGGCTGTACAAGCATAGTCACCACACTAACTATGCAGATCTGTCTCAGTTTTAAGGGAGAAGAGCCCAGTGGGCAGTCCAAGGGTCTCCCACCCATCTTCCCAACATCGTTAACCCTCCGACTGCTCAATTTGTAGACCGTAATCGCTTAAAAAAATGTGGGAATTTTTTTTTCATATTTTAAATCTATATATATTGGAGAATTGAAAAATGCATTTTTCCTTTCTAGAAAATATTTTTTTATATAGATTTTTATCATGAGAAACTAAGTTGCTAGAAAAAAACAATTTCAGGTCTTATCACTAAAAAAATTTTTTTTAAATAAATTTCAGTCGAATTAAGTTAATTTCTATTTATTGCATAATATAAAATTTAAGAAAATATAAAGCACTGAGGAAAAAATACCTTAGAAATGCAGTTTAGTATGATAGAGTTCAAAACAGGGTTCAAGGCAAAGTCCAACTTCACAATCTTCGCACCATATTCAATAAATCTAATTAATAATTCAATAATTTAACTAAATAATCAAGATAATCGCTTAATGTTTTCTAGCAGTCATTTCTGTAAGAAAAAAGCGCAAAAAGTGAAGTTTGAGCGGTAATACCACGTGCCCTCAAATCCCGCAATTTAGCAGACAACTAACGATATCTGTTGGCCGAAATGTAAACTAAACGTCTAATACTGTATATAATTTATTTCAGTGGTTAAATGGGGAAAAAACAGGATGTGCTCCTCAATAAAGGAAGACAAACATATGCTCGCAGAAATCGCAAGATGAGCAGCCACAGGGTTTGGGCCGCAGTGTATTTTGAGAGCCCTCTGCCTCACATACACCACACACTTAGAAACATTACAGGATTACTTCTCCAGGATTAGAGCTTGGGTTCATAAGTAAAACAGTCAACCTCACTAACAACTTTACCATCTGAGCAGCTTTTAACTGCACCGTGGGAAGTAGATGGAGTCTGGCTAACCATATCCTCCTCCCCCTGTAAGAACTCTCTGGTCTAGAACAAAATTTTTTTAACTCTCTTCATTCATGACCCCTTTTTATCAAGACTTTTCTGTAACTCAATATTAAATACAGAACAAGGATATAAAAGTAAATATTTTCCCATAAATAATTAATTTTTTTGGTAACACTATACGAATGAAAAATAGTAATTTCAGGATTTTTTTTAAGTACAGTCAAAAGTCGTTAATTCGGACACCCATAATCCGGAATGATCTATAATCCGGACCTCAAAGCTAAAAACTTCCTGCGCATGCGCCGCGTTGGCACATGCGCACAGCCGTTTTACGCGTGTGCGTAAGACCGTGACTACTGCGCATATGCGTGTGCGCAAGTGCAGAATACGTTTTCGCCAGCTCGTTTAATGTATAACGGACGGTGTAAGCTAAAATTATCTAATTATCTATTTCAGTTAATGTTGCAGATTACGTTGTTCCTTAATCTTGGAATTGGATCAGCTTATTATTTTTTGCAGACTGTAAGAGCAATTTTTATAAAGTAAACTTGAACTTTCGATTATGTTCAAATAGAATTTCCGATGCTGGAACTTCCAAGGATCTACAAAACGAAAGTATGTTTCGAGTCCAACAAACAAAAGTGGAATTGCTTCAAAAAATGGATAAGACAAAGAATGTGACAGAGAGGTTAGTGAAAACAAAAAAATTTCAATTGACAAGTTAGTCGGTATTCTCGGCCACAGCAATTAATGGGACTTGAACAGCGGAACTTTGTAACTGAACAAGAAATTATGTCTTTTATAGAATTAAAGAGAAAGTATTATCACATAAAATGAAGCAACTTAAACAACTTACATTGAGAGAAATGTTTAATAAAGTAAACAAATAAATATTAAGCTTTTTTTTTTTTTTTTTTTTTTTTGTAAATTTTGATACCCTTTAGATCATAATTGTTCTTATTTCATAAATTACGGTTTTCATATTTTTACTTTTAGAATTTCTGCATGCCATCTTACGAGATTTAAACTGATGATCTATAATCCGGAATCGCCGAAGTCCCGACGAGTCCGGATTAACGACTTTTGACTGTACATGAAAACTTTATAAGCATTGAAGTTGAAATAGTTGTTCCACATAAGTATGTGGTGTTGAATGACATTTAATGTCATTTTAGAAGTTGCGGGAAATTCAGCTCTAACTACAATCCATTCAGTTAATGCTTTTTGTAGACACAAAAGTTTTCTGAGTCACCTGACAGCTCAACAAATTTTTTTTGAATTAATAATGGCAGATGATTAATCTCAATAATGTTGAATAATGTTAATTTTTTTAAATTCATTCATCAGACTTAAATTTTCACAACGTATTAGGGGTCACGACAGACAGCTTAAGAAAATGCTGGTCTACAGTTTGAACAGGGTTGCCACTCAAAGAGGAGAATGAAATTTCCTGACTTTTCCAGGTGTGTTTTGAGAAAATTCCACTCTATCCGCATATTGCACATTGTGCTGAGAGGTAAATTAATTATGCTACTACTTGAAAACACAAAACTTTTCCAATTGCATATGGCTTATTATAAATATAATCTTGAAAGCATTACTATTATAGATATAATAGTTGTTTTCTCCACTGAAGATTGAGATTAGAATCTGCCCCATCTGGATTTAAAAATGATTTTTTTTTTTTTTTTTTTTTTTTTTTTTTTGGCAAACATTTTGCGGCTAAACGAAAGAAGGAATCATTTAATGATATTTAAAAAATTCAGGTATTTTATATTTATTTAGCAGCATACATAAGCAAAAATATTGCATTAATTTCGGATAGTATGTCATCATACTGCTAGATTTAGTTATGCCAGAGAAATTTGCCTGAAATTTGAAAGTATTATTAACTAATAATAAATAAATTTAGAGGACAGAAAGAAACATAATGATATAAATAACATTAAAATGAAGTTAATCACTTAAACATTGAATTGCAAAATCATGCTATTTTGGTGAATATAGTCATATTAAACATTAGCCTAGAAGACTGATTGCTATTTTTTTTTTTTTTTTTTTTTTATTTTACTGCAAAATGAAAAATAAGGCATTTATTAAATGAAAAAAAAAAGTTTAAAAGATTTTGCAGTAAAACCCTAGTCTTCACTACGGCCTTAGTACAATTTTGAAAACTGCCGCCAACACCAAAATGGCCAGTTTACTGCCTAATACCTTCTTAAACAGAGACTAAGAGACAGAGGGAGGTAACTGTTGTTACTGCTCATCATAATGTCACCAAATCCCGTGTGTACCGTACATGAAGGTTAGAATAAAAAAATATGTATTGTTAAGATAAAAAAAAAAAACTTCTCTGCAACAGGCACATCCCAAGGTAGATGGAAACAGCTGCGTATGTGCAAAACATCTGTCGTCGAAGCTCGTGAAGTTCGAAGATCAAGTTTATCAAGAGGACATAAAATGAATATTGTTTTAAATTTCTTTAAACTTTAAAGGGAATGAAAATATTTTTTCGTGCAAGTAAATTAATTAATAGATTAGTTATTCTGAGCAAAAGAAGTACAAAAATTCGAGTATAAATTATCACGAAAGTCAAAGAAAGTTTCTTCTTAACACATGCTATGGAAATTCTAGCCGTCAGGTTCTGTCCGCAAATCCCTTGGCGAATTTTTCCCTCCGCTTTCTACCAGCACTATAGCAAACTGCACCGTGTAAAGAAAGTCTATGTAAAGAAAGAAAGGTCTATGAAACCTCTCTTTCTTTACATAGATGTGCTTGCATTAGAACAGTGTACGTGGGTCCTATTCTAGACTCCATGGTACCGTATATTATATTAAACCGATTTTGTTGTATACAAGAATGAGAAGGTATTTTATTTAGTTCAACAATTGCAGCACATGCGAGTCTAAGGCCCATATCCCATGGCGCTTGTTTCACATGAACAATTGTTTCAGACAATTTTTCTGCCTGGCTTACTATTGAAAGAAAGACGTGCAACTTTTTTCTGCCTTTACAAAAAAATTGCAAGTTGTTCATTTTCAACCAATCAGCTACCAGCTTCAAATCGGACAAAAGGAAACGGCGCATTTATATACTAATTCACTGAGAGTGCTTGGAATGTATGTATCTACTTAACTTTTTTTTTTTTTTTATGCCTTTGTGGCTTGGCCTGTGTCCTCATACCCATATGGCAGGTTTCGCCTGCTAGCTGGGCTGGGAGCCCGTGCTTAGAACTAACTAACTAACCAGCTTCAAATGCTATCAGCTTGTTTGTAATGACGTACCAGTTTCCCCCTGTGCTAACCCCAAAGCGATCTATGGTGATTGGTTGTTGTGACAAAGCAGAAAAATTATTCCAAACAGTTGTTCTTCCAAAACAAAATGACGTGTGATAGCAGCCTTAGGATTCTCGAGGTTACTGGAAACCAAACTTGCCGGAAACTTGCTTTACCTTTCTAAAAGACCATATGATTGGAGCTGCGAAAATTGGCTCTACACCAGCTGCCCGAATGACGCTTATCCAATACATAATTTGCAGTGCCATAAGTGATCGCTTCCAACATTGCCGAAAAACTTGCTTTTATGGGAATCGCCGTATGACTTTTCCATTTTGACTACAATATTTAAATTCCCAGAGTTTTTTGGTCAATTTTCGAATTCCTTGACATTTTCCGGTTTTCAAGATGGCGTGGCAACCCTGTTTGCAACATAATGCAAAAATTATCTCTTATGGGAGCCTCCAGATTATTATTCTTATATGTACAGAAGCTCTATGCATGATTTTAATAGTGACTACTTATTATCAACAACAAGATTTGGGCTTCCCTGCTACGCAAAACTGAACCGCATTACAGGTTCCCTCGCCTTTTAGAACCAGGCACAGAGGTTCAACCTCGCACTTTGGAGAGAGATGCACCGCTTGGGACACGTCGCCCAGACAGCACTGGTCATCAAATTTTCGACCTGCCAGTCTCTTAGGCTGCTCGTTACAGCGGGACATTACCCAGCAAACCCGGGTAGAGCCACATTGATCTAGAAGCTTAATATTGAAAATAAAATACATAAGAGTAAAAAACTATTTTCTTAAAAATTGTTAACAGCTCAATAATGAATTTGGCAGAAAAGTTAAAAATGTTAAACGGTTTTACCTCGAAATACTAAATTTGCTTTAGGAAGATCAATTTGATATCCTATAGAACATACACTTTCACTTGACCTAAAGTTTGTTTTCAGATCAACACCCACCTAAAAGAAGGCAATATATATATAGTACATACAGCAAAATATTACAAGCTAGATAAAATGTATATGCACATTATGTATCAAACTATTACTTTACTTAACTTACCTGTATATTTTCACCATCCTTACGATAATAACAAGCATGCAGACCATATGGACCCAATGTTCCACTTATAATATAATTAGACCCTGGAATATGTAAAGCTTTCACAACTCACAAAAAAACACAAATAAACAACTGAAATTCTTTTAATACTTTCTGAGGGGACTATTAAAATCTCTCTTATTATTATATTTTTAAAATTTTGCTTTAAAATATCTAGAGACATTTTTGCAGAAAAATAGAATACACTATTTTAATATAGACATTAAATTTTACCTCCCTTGCACAAAAACAGCGATAGATAAAAAGTTCCCGGTCAAGCTCAGTCGCATACCAATAAATGGTAGCCAAGGTGATCATGAACCTTCATAAAGGCAATGTGCCAAGAAACACTACTGTTTTAACATTGAGTTTTTACAGCAGTGTTTTGTGATGACATGTACATTGCAGCCTGCAGTTACATTGTGAACAGCAGATGTTGTGCCAACTCTAACATCTTAAATATGTGGCATGCACCTTGGATTCTCCACAGTGACAATGCAGCCTGTAACCAAATGATCTTCATTTGTTACTTGCCAACTACAACATGAGTCTGCTTCTACACTTGCTGATTTCTTCCTTTTTCTGCCAGCAGCCGAGCGGTTAAATCTCTGAACACCATTAGTTCGGTCTGGGGTTCAATACCCAGTTAACAGACTGGCTGGGTGTTTTCGTGGGTGTCACCACATGTAACACGTAGGCGAGCCAATTTCTCTTAGGAAGTCTTCCACGAGGCATCCCTTCCCTTAGGTAGGTAACCCACGAGAGCTTTGCCATAATCAAATAAACCAAATCTTTTCTACAAGTGAAGATGAAGCCAAAAGGTAGCCATTTTCCTACAGTTACCAAGATCCAGTACAAATCACAAAAAGTTACAGATCTGCTCATGCAAAATGACCGAGGCCACATTTCAGCAAAGGTAGGAATGCCAAGACATTGCAATGCAAGGTGACTATTATGAAGAAAATTACAGTCAAAAGTCTTTAATCTGGACTCGTCGGGACTTCGGGGATTCCGGATTATAGATCATCAGTTTAAATCTAGTCAGATGGCATGCAGAAATTATAAAATTAAAAATATGAAACTGTAATTTATGAAATAAAGAGCATTATGATCTAAAGGGTATCAAAATTTACAAAAAAAAAAAAAAAAAAAAGCTTTATATTATTTGTTTACTTTATTAAACATTTCTTTCAACGTGCGCATAGTCGAAATTAGAAAATTGCAACCAGAAAACTATTTGATGTGTATTCGTGATATTTATAATGACGGGGAATTTCATATAAATAACATCAAAGATGGAGTACATCGAGATGAAATACTACATTTGGTAAAGAATTATAAGTTGAATAAAATAAAAACATCTGCCCTGAAGATAAGGATAGTGCTGACAGATCAACTTTCAGTTCACTGCGTGCTATGACGTCCCCCCCCCCCCCGCATAACAGCATGAAATTGATAAACAGATTTCGGAATGGTTAGAGAAACAAAGGACATGCCTTTATCCATTTTTTGCAGCAATTCCACTTTTTTGTTTTGATGGACATCGAAAATGCTTTCGCTTTGTAGATCCTTTGGCAGCTCCAGAATCGAAATTCCTTTTAACATAATCGAAAGTTAAGTTTACTTTATAAATTGCTCTAACGTCTGCCAAAATAATAAGCCAGATCCAATTAGAAGATTAAGGAACAATGCAATCTGCAACATTAATAGAAATTAATTAATCTGAAATAGATAATTAGATATTTGGCTTAACTTATACTGTCCGTTATACATTAAACGTGCATGCGTAAACGCATATGTGCATGTGCAGAAAGTTTGTAGCTTTGAGGTCCGGATTATAGATCATTCTGGATTAAAGACTTTTGACTGAATATTCAAACTTAGGTAAATAATGCACTTCCTAATCCACCATGTATATGATAGAATAAAATACATTTCTGAAAGCGAAATTTAAAACACACACTAAAAAGCACCACAAAAAGAAGGATAAGCATGTTATACTTGAAACTAAAAGTAACCAAATGATAAAATTTGGAATGAATGAAAAGTTTAAATAAAACTAATATAAAAAGTAATGTTCAAATGAGGAGCCTTATAAACACTAAATAACTCAAGATTAACAAAATAACATTCTCTGGAAACTAAAAACAAAACATGAGAAGTGTTGACAGTAAAAAGGCAAATGATTAACTATATATAATGAATTATGCAATAGACTTTTAAAAACAATTTAAATAATGTCTGAATTACTTGAGCAACTTACTGTCTGAAGCAATGGTATTTGTTACAAAAAATAAAATTTTGCTTTCAGTTTCATAGTTTTATTATACAAAGAATTAGGCATCTAACAAGTGAATTAAATTAACAGAATGAATGAATAATAATAAAATAATAATGAAAGTTTGTTATTGGGCAATCAAAGACAAGTCCCTCTTCTTCAGCAGCAAAAACATTTAGCCTAATTTTAAAGAAAATGGGTCATGGTTAGATAATATGTATGAAATCGATGAAAATCGCATGAAGTTATTTTAATATGCCATCATTAAATTGAGTGGAGGATGAACTACCAGCATTCTTATGTTTTTAGCACTGGTCAACTCAATTTTTTTTAAAATAAAAATAAAAACACAGTGGTTTTCAACCTTTTTTCCTCCATGCACCCTTTTATCTCTGCTAGAAGATCATCCCCCCCTTACGGAAAAACTCTGAAGTTTTTCCAAACACAAAAAATACATATAGATTTAGATTATTTTTAAATAAGTCAGGCTGACCACATTCCACTTTCAAACTATGAAATCCATCCTGAGAGGGAATTCTTCCATGGTTGAGAACCCCTGGAAGAACACATACCTGTATATCTTCCATCAAAAGCCACTGCAAGCATCTGACCTTCAGGAACTAGTGGACCATACTCATATAGCATGTCAGCACCAAGTGCCAAAGATGGTGTAACATTTTTAAGATAATCCAAGCCGACAACACCGAATTATTCTGGACATATAGACTGGATACCCATAAAAAAGCTGTGTAATCTGACCCTTTGTAATCAAGCGCAGCTTGTGAAGCAAAAGAATTGCCCTGAACCTGAAATGGATTTTAAATTGCATAACAGTAAATGACAAGTTTAACATTTTATCCAACATAATTTTTTTATTTTAGAATCATAATATTCAGAAAGGATTTTAAATGTTAAATCTTTATTATTAAATAATGAAGAATTTGTACACATGCACATTCCTTACATTGTGAAAACATAACAGTGAACAATATAGTCATGAAGAACATGTGCACTTCAAAGTCTGATTTTGTTTTTTATTCATTTCATATTTTGTGCAAATGTAAGAAATTTCTGATTAAAAACTCATCAATATAAAAGCTTTGTCTTGCTAATCAGCAAGATGTTTTGTTTCAAATTTTGATCAGAAAAACTCAGCGACATAAAAGAAGTACTTTCTTTGGCGACAAAATGCAATATAATTACCCTTTTTAATTTAATTAACAAACTCAGCGATTTAAATGAAATGTGTTTCCACTACCAAAATTAAAGTATTCTTTATTTTTCATGTGCCAGTGTGTTGTTGTTTAGCTAAGTGAAAGATTTCCTTTTACTTCCAAATTTATTCTGTTATTAATTAACAAAGTAAGAGAATTAAAAGCAATAAATGCAGATTTATTTCAATTATTACTAACCACTCATGAAATTGCATTAGTTAAGATACCTTAAAATCATTATACATATATCTGTGTGTATGTGTGTAATAATTTGATGCTGTAGATGGCTTGTTGATTCCAAAACTGTGCACATAAACTGACAAGAGCCATGTAGATGGAAATGATGGAAAGAGAAAGGCATAGTTGGAATACAATGGTAATTATAGTAAAATTTTTCTTTAACGTGATTGGCTAAGAACTATATGTAATGCAGAAGGTTGAGAGACAAAATTTAGGGCAAGCACTGAGGTATTTATGACTTTGTCCTCTTAGATTACACGCATTTTTGAATGCATTATTATGGATGCATGGTTAGTGATTTGGACTGTGAATGTATTTCTGAATATGACTCTGACAATTCAGATATGGCCTTTGATTTTTAAAGAATGCAAATAGATAAGGCTGTTAAAGGATTTACTTGTGAAAAAGGTGTACAATAAAATGCACTTTATCAATGCAGTGGACGTTCTTCAAAATTTGCTTTGATTCGAAGACAAATTGATGGTTGCCATGGACCAATATCTAAAAGATGAGATCAATATCCAGACATGGATGAGAACCTACATTCAGATATGGTACATGCGTAGATTATGGAAACCAATTTACAGATTCAGAATGTTATAAAGGTAAGTTTTTTAGGGCTCATCACAAGTCCGATTTATCTAATATCATTGATTCTGATGAAGTGGTGGGTTAACCGTTGCACATCTAAATCCTGAAAATGTTGCTGGCCAGTAATGTAGTTATCTCCCCTAGTTTGAGTACGGTATCTAAGGTGGATGTTCTTAAAAATATCATAGATTAAAATTCAAATATTTTTGTAAAATTTATAAAAATTATTTTAAAATAAATCATAAAAAATTGACGAATTTTTTATCTGGAATGAACCTAAATTTCGAAATGTGATAGGAAGAATCAAATAAGTTTAATAAAAAAGATATATTAATAAATATAAACCAAACTTAATTAGCATTGAGGGGCTAAAATTTTGAGAGCTAACTGTTTAGAAATTACTCGTGCAATGTTTACCAAACTTAGCAGTTTGGCATAATTTGAGTCCTAGAATGGAAATGTGAAAAAAAATTGACATGCCATTTCAGAAAAAGTCTGATTTTGTGTCAAAATACCTATATCAGAACAATGCTATATATCAATCTAATACATATCCTAAGTCGCGATTTTGAGACATGGAAAACGCAAGTTGAATTTCATCGATCGACCCAGTAGAACGGGAGATGTAGAACTGTCCCCCCTTGTTTTTTGTGCAGTGTACCTGAAACTTACCTTCTATCTTATAATTTCGATTATTTTTTTTTTTTTTTTTTTTTTTTTTTTTTTTTTTATTTTTATGTTAATTCCATTTTTGACGAATCTGACCAAACCTGTAGATTTGGTAGAATTCCGCAGTAAAGACTCATGATTCTGCCAATGGTTGATGAAACAATACATTAAGTACCATTTTTATTATTGCCTGATGTGTACTGCAGTAACATCTTTTCAATGTTCCTTCAAACTTGGGCAGTATTCATCGTGTCAGTGAAAGAGAGGGTGAATTTCTTGATGCCTCTTTCTACAGCTACCAATATTCCCCAATGAACAATTTGTTTTTCTTCATTAATTTAATTTTGCATCTGTCCATATGCCAACCAAATTTTTCTTTTTCCCACTTAAATTATTTTTTTATCTTGGAATATTAATTATCCCTTTGTTAGTAGAAACCTAGCAGTACAAATATCTATTTTTCTAAAAATTATGTATGTTAGTAGTCATACAGTCTTTCCGTTCTTTCAATTACTGGAATTTCCGATCAATCACAGTCGCATTCTTAATGCTAGATTTTTTCAACACTGTTTTTTTTTTTTTTTTTTTTTTTTTTTTTTTTTTTTTATGTTGCTATCTCAATGACATGCTATCATTAATGACTGAAAATTTTACACTGGGTTAGTGCTCAACCGAAGTGCCAGCAATAAATGTTCCAATCAGCGAAAGCACAATTTTACATTACTTTTAGTAAAATTTACTAAATCAACACATACATATAAAAATTTAGCATGTTATACCTGAGTAAAATACATTCCATGTATATTTTTGTATTTGTGAATCATTTTAGCAGTCATCGTGCCACTAGGATCAACAGCACCCGCTAAAACTGGATATTTCTGAAAAAAATATACATATATTTGATATTACTTAAAAGCTATGACTGTGTGACAAAAGTGTTAATAGAAACAATAAATATCTTTATTATATTTATTAATGCACTATCTTTATTAATGCTAGTTGCATTATGTTCAGTATAATGAAATGACACAGTCATAGATTGCAATACCTGATGTAAATAATCTGTAAAAGTGCTCATAGAAGCAGAAAATATATTTAAGGATATATGCAGTTTTTTTCACAGAAAGTAATAAAAGAAGTGATTTCTAATGAAACTTGTTAAAGTATACTAGTCTTTAAAATACTAAAAGCTAAATCCCAAAACCAAGCAACAAACACTGTTTCGTGTTGCACACCTATTTACAGTAATATAGAAAATAGTTCATAAAAATATACAGTCAAAAGTCGTTAATCCGGACTCGTCGGGACTTGGGCGCTTCCGGATTATCGATTTTTCCGGATTACTCTTTATGTATATATAAACAGTGACATAACGCAAAACCCGGACATCTCCATTTTTACATTTCATTAAATGATTTATGATAAAAGGAAACAAATTTAAACAAGATTATAAATTATTTTGTTTACTCTCTTAAAGTATATATAAATTTAAAAAACAGCAAAGTAAAACCGTTTTGCATTAAAAACATACAAAAATACATTTTGAAACAATCTTCAAAAATACATTTTTTAAAAATACATACAAATTCAACAAATAATGAAAAGTAAACACAAATCAAACTCAGATATTCTTATCGATTTGAATTATTTAAATGAAATTTAGTATTTGGTGATAAGTTACTACAATAACTTTTAATCTATTTGGCATGGAATGGACTAATTTTTCTCAGTAACTGAAAGTAATGTTTGACCTTTCTTCTTTCTAATGTCTTTTCTAATTCTGTCGTAGCATGATTGTTTAAATGGTACTTACGTATTATCACAACCAGGTTGGCGCGATTTGTAAGTTTGAGTAAAAAAGTATGAATAGAAAGAAAATGTATATTTATTAATTACAGATAATTTTTAATACAGTTTTTTTATATTATTTTGTTTTAAAATATAAAATAGCAATTAAACCCTTCCGGTTTCGAATTTGAATAAGTTGCAGAATTATTTTTTCGGCGGAAATCTTTTCGCTATTGCTTTCAGCACTGATTGAAAATCGTATTCGCCATAACCATGTACACAACGACTTATTTTTACTTAAAAAAACATCCCAGAATTGCACAAAAATGGCAATGCGCACACTCTTGACTTTATCCATGTACACTGCTATTTTCTCATAAATTACAAAAATTTGCACGAAAATGCAGGAAAATTTTGTGAATCTCCACATGCAAAATAGCAGTGTACATAGATAAAGTCAAGAGTGTGCGCAATGCCATTTTTGTGCAATTCTGGGATGTTTTTTTAAGTAAAAATAAGTCGACGTGCACATGGTTATGGCGAATACGGTTTTCAATCAGTGCTAAAAGCAATAGCGAAAAGATTTCCGCCGAAAAAATAATTCTGCAACTTATTCAAATTCGAAACCGGAAGGGTTTAATTGCTAATAAATTACAAAAATTTGCACAAAAATGCAGGAAAAATTTTGTGAATCTCCACATGCTCTTTTAACAAAACTACGTATAACACGTAGGGCTGCCGTAAGTAGGGTCGCCAAATTTGGCAATTTATGCGAATTTTGGCCTGGTTGCGTTAATACGTAAGTACCGTTTAAATTTTCACATGGGCTGCAGATTACAGTTCATTGTCACCAATTTGTGTAAACCATTAAGGCTTAGTGCTACTGTTTATACTATTTAACCCGGCATTTTGAATATTCATCATTTTAATATGTTTTTCATGGTTTGGTTTGGTTTTATTAGATAACGGCAAAGCACTCGAGGGATATCTGCCTTAAGGGAGGGATGCCTTTGTGGAGGACTATATAAGGGAAACTGGCTCGTATACACGTTACATATAGGGAAAAGTCTGATCTTTCAACTAACATATTGAGGGGAGAAATGCATGAATTAGTTTATCATGGATGAGTTGCATGTGAGTGATCACATTGTGACAGACTGGAACATGTTTTGTACATAGGTGTGTGTGGAGATGTGCTTGAGTGATAACATGCAGCCAGCTTGTTTGCGGGATTCAAACCTCGGACCGAACTACCAGTGTTCAGCAATGTTATTGCTCGGCCGCTGGTGGGCTATGTTTTTCATGGACAGTCCTGTGAGCAAAACAGCTGGTGCCGAAAGAGTTGAACGAATGGATATCACTTATCCGATTAGGTTTCAAGATAAGGATGAAGGGTGTGTACGCTAGAATGGTGCACAAATTTTGTTTCATTCTGAATGTTTATGAGTGTCATATGCACAAAAGTAGGCCGAAATTAGTTGAAAGAAGAGATGCGACAAATTTGTGTGAATGGCGGTGATGTGTCCCAGACTTTCCAAGGACAAGGTCAAAAGGAGTGTATGAAAGGGCTGTTGGTTTTTCCAGAGACAAATAGTTGCAAGTCTGATCTTTCAACTAACATATTTGTGGGGTCAGAAATGCACGAATTAGTTTATCATGGATGAGCTGCATGTGAGTGATCATACTGTACAGACTGGAAGGTGTTTTGTATATAGGTGTGTGTGGAGATGTGCTTGAGTGACAACATACTTGAAGGGCCCAGAAAAGTGGTTGAAACTGATGAAAGCAAGTTTGGAAAAAGAAAGTATCATCCTGGAAAGGGCATGGAAGGCACATGGACGTTTGGAGATATTGAAGGGGGATAGGGCAAATACTTTTTCTGCATGGTTGAAAGAATACCTGTTTAGATTATAATAGAAAATATTTGTCGAAACCGTCGTATTATTATTTTGAACCGATGGAAGTCATATGTTTATCTTAGTGATGAGGAAATTATGCACTTCTAAGAAAATCACAGTCTCATTTTTTATGATCCCGAGACAGTTGATGACACAAATTCTACTAAGGGCATACAGAATGAAAGCAAAAAACGTTTGAAGGGATTCACCTCTGGCCAAGTATACGCGGTGGAGAAAGCATGCACACTTATCACCGAGTGATCGATTTGAGGAACTTTATTTAAAGTATTTAATAACTTATTTACTTAGTCATAAAGATTGTTTATCCACCACAGTCATCAGATGTATGACTGGTGAAGGTAAGGTTCATTTTTATTACTTTTTCATAGATTTGTTACACTGATATACACTGATTTTCATTCTGAATTGATAATACATATTTCAGGTAAAAGTATAGTTTAGGGTACCCCTTGGCGAAACTTAGCGATTTTTGGCGGCACATGGATACCGATTTTGTGCAATTCTTTGACTCGTTATTTCGGCTTGCGAAGGGCGATTTTTGCACCAAAAATTGCCGCTACACAAAGCCAAAATAACAAGACAAACAATTGCACTAACTCTGTATCCATGTACACATCGACTTATTTTCAGTTAAAAAAAAAAACCCCGAATTGCACAAAAATGGCATTGCGCACTCCTTTAACTTTATCCATGTACACGTCGACCTAGTTTCACTTAAAAAAAAATTCTAGAATTGCACAAACTTACATTGCGCATTCCCTTTACTTTATCCGTGTACACATCGATATAGTTTCACTTAAAAAGTCAAAAGAGCACCCAATTTTACAATATAGATAAACAAAAAATACATAATCTCAATAAAATACATTTTAAACCAAACAATAAAATAACATAAAAAAAGAAAAACGTGTTATATATTTAAGCACTAGCAAAAGCAAATATTCACTTACCATGATTTTCGAGTTCGCTTCGTACACCCACAGCCACGTAAAAATCAAAATATCAATCATACTCAAATGACTTTTTTCAAACCAGGTACTCTTTCTTATCGAATGCTTTACATAGTGACCATCCGAACCTTTCTTCCTACAAACCCATACTTGCCAACCTTTGACACTCAAAAATCAGGAGATTTTTTTAAGAAATCAGGAGATTTTTTTCGATGTTAAAAAGACTTTTTAAATGATAAAAATATAGTTTTTAATAATGAATTATCTTTAAATAGTAACTAATTCTTAAATGCAAGCAACACAAAAACCTTACAGATAAAAACATTTTTATTACTTGCATCGTTTAAGAAAATAAAAAAATTAAAATTAAAAAAAAAGACACTTTAATCAGTTTTCGTACAAATGCTATAAACAGTGGCAGATTTTGCTTTCTTTAAGAAACTTCCTAATTTTGTTCATAGCAATTGCCATGTAGGCCTGCTTTCACTAATAAAATTTTTCTAATGTGTCATCGTTAATATTAGATCTAAATTTAGTCCTCGTTTTTGCAACAACACTGAAACTCCTCTCACACTCCGCATTACTGTGGGGAACTGTCAAAATGGCCAACATAATTCTAGACAGTTCACTATATTTTAAAATTCCATCAGCACCTTTCAGTTTTCCAATTAAACTCCACTGGGTGTCAATCCTAGCTGATTTTATAAATTCATTCAAGTTTTCTAATTGTAAACTGCTGTTATGCAGCTTTTGGGACTGTTTCAATTTTTCCTTCCTTTTAGAACTCCTTTCAAGATAATAATAAATATCAACAATGTGTTCATCCACATTTATTGGTAAAGAAGCTACCCCTTTTTCAGCTGCTAAATCTAAGAGGTGACAGGTGCACCTCATAATCTGCAAATCTGAATTTTCCTTTCTTAAGATGCCTGCAAGCCTACCAATACTGGTGCATTATCAAGTTTTAATAATTAGCTGTGCTATATTAAAGCCTGTCAAATGTCCTTCTAAAGTGGGAACAGAACATAAACTGCACCCAATTTCTGAAGACTCTGAATTAAAAAAAGAAGCAACAATTGGATACAGTTTTGAATCAGTATTATTGCTTCCATCCGTAGAGAGGCAGAACGGAGTTGTTTTAATGCAATCAATAACTCAAGATTTATTTTTCAAACCCATTTCTTTAACAATTGCACCTGTTTTGGTTCTTACACTTGAGTA